GAAAATTTATCATTCGTAAAGTTGTATTCTTTAATCTTAATTAATGAGCATAACTATAACCTTTTAATCATGGGCCAAGAGGGAATATAATAAGCTACTAACACAGTACTAAAACCTTAAACAACAAATTCACAACAATTAGAAACCTTGCTAAACAAATTCTCTTTTTATACAATGCACCACAAGGGAATTGCTCATTGTAAAAACAAGCATTTGAGACACCAACTTGGCCGTTAAAGATGTAATATAAGCAAAAGATTTAGAAAAACCACCCATTGCCATTTTTTATCCCCATTCAAAATAAATTAATAATAGTAATAATATTTATAGGAGAAAAAAGATTCAAGAAAATCACCCATTACAATTTTAGATTCCTATTTATCATAAATTTATAATAATTATAGGAGCAGAAGATTTAGGAAACCCATTACAATAGATTCCTGTTTAAACATATATTAATAATAAATACGATCAAAATGCACGCGAAATAGGCGTTCATAAGATGTAGTGGGTATCGGACCAGTAATCAGTAAATCATAGAAAGCCAGTGAAGTTTAATGTATATTATCTTATTTAACATCTATTCTATGATAACTAAGAATGTAGACCTAGTGTTCATTTCTACAAGAAAACGGACACAAACAACAACTGCCCAAAATCCAAAACTTTTGCTACAGCTTAAAATGACAAGAAAACCAAAATATGCAGACATGGAGGAATCAGAAATTAGAAGTTAGCAGCGAACGAGAAGATGGATACTCTTAAAGAAAGGAAGTGGAAGATTTATTTGAAAATTAAAATAGAGTGGGCTTTTAAGAGGACCTTTAGTAATTAATTTAACGTAAGTAAAAATGAAACCTATTTAAATGTGACAATTTTAAGCCCAATCATCAGGTTAACGCTTTTACAGTTGCTCTGCCCTAATCTGAGCAGGTCTCTGCCCAAGGCACATGATATTTATGTAACAGGACAAAGATATTTCATTCCTCAGTCTGTGGACTGTGATCTAGTAAATAATATTATGACCAAAAAACCGGTATCAAATATGCACAAAGGGCTTAGCCCTTCCACTCCGATCAAGGAGATGAATGTTTCTTTTAAAGTATGTACCTGAAGTGGGAATGAATTTTAGAAAATCCTGTCCAGATGCTAACTTGATGATATATGAAAATGCATTTTGCAAAGGAGATTACAAAGAAGTTACCACCTGGCTTTCAAAGTTACAGGTTCTTAGATTCCCAACATGCTCTGTCCTCACTCATGTTAGTTTATTACTAGGTTTTGTATCCTACATCATTTTTATAACAAATATGTGTGTGTGTCATGTTGCACTTTATTTTCATCTCTTACATCTCATAAGAAAATCATTAATTAAGATATCCTAATTTGTAGGTTATATCTCTAGTTGTAATGTGTTAAGGAGATTAATGAAGTGATCGTTGTGGTTGGCTGTTCCCAAAGATGTCGGGAATATTAGCCAACTTCCGTTATAAATGTGGTGCATGTTCTCCTTGACTTTGTTTTTCCGCATATTTTGTGGTTAGCTTACTTTCACCTGCAGTAGTGTTAGTAGTACTAGTTATCACTTGTCTGCTGCTTTATTTTGTGATAACCCAATCAGTTCATTTAACCACTAAGTAGATCTAAAATCGAATCACAGAAGGCCTGACCCGTGGACCTTCAAACTCATGGCAAGAAGGATATTGCCTTGAGTCCAGCAAATATTGTAGATAAAAAAATAAATATTAAATGTTGCACCATTGGATGTATTTTTGCAACTTGGAATGCGAAACAAAAAGATAAGTTAAAGGATAAGAAGGCAACTAGAAGTCACTACTTCCTTGCAGTAATCTCAACTATGACAAGTAGGAACTGTAATTTATCACAACCCATTTTTAATGAGAAGAGATAGAATGTGGACAAAAGTTGATAGTGGAATGATTTGACGGTAGAACAGTGTTATTAATGGCGGATGGCGGTACATGGCGTTTTGCCAAAATTCCGCCATTGCGGCCGCCGTGGCGGTCTATGGCGCCACCATGACCGCCATCATTCACAAATTTTGCATGGCGGATTGTCAAAAATCCACCACGCCATACCGCCATGGCCGCCATTTGATAACACTGCGGTAGAACAAGAAGATAGAATTCTTAAAGAATTGAGAAGCACTTCAACAACAAAGTTTATATGCCATGCATTTAATCCAGCTGAGTTTGCACATGAAATGAAGTGACCTACTTGTAAGGAAGCTTTTCAAGAAGAATTGACTCGAGTTAGGTTGCTTGTAACTTCCAAAAGGAGAAAATGTAAATTTAATTCCCTAATATTCATAGTCTCTGCTGATAAGTAATTATCTTTCTGAATGTTAAGAATCTTTTAATAAAGTAATTTATTTTTAGTTACTGGGTTTTTGTTTCTGCAAACCGAGTTTTTTTCTACTTAAGTAGTAGGGTTAAGTATCTTAGGGTATAAAAAGAAAATTCAAGATTAGCGGTATTTAATTACTTCAGCCAAAGGGAACTCGGTGATTTCGCTTGAAAACCTGTTTGTTTTTTAATTCAAGTAAATATATCATTACCCTAAAAATGTAAAACAAATATATCGTTTCAGGAACTGAAAGACACACCCAAAACTTTTTACTAAGTAGAGAGAGAGAGAGAGAGAGAAGTAATGGTCCTCACTTGAGTAAAGCTAATACAAGTGTCCACATAAAGGTCAGAGCCGTCCCTAGAAAATTTAAGATCTTCTGCAACCTGAATAGAAGAATCATGAAATAGTCAAAATATTAAAACAATTAGAACCAAAACAAAAGTAAGAGCGCCAATTACTTAACAGCAATATATGTCTACCGGCCATGTAAGAACCAAGGTGAAATTGCCAGCTACAGTGTTAAACCACGTAGACCAGTGGAGGGTGGAAAGTCTAGTCATGAGGATAGACAACATTCTCATGTTGTGCAATCACAAATATGAATTGGCGATAAAATTAATCATCAGGTAAAGCTATTCAAATATACATTACAAATTGTATCACCAATACAGAATATAACGGCAGAGACTCAATCAATCAAAATAGGTTGCCAATGATAACTGAGAGCAAAGTTTGAATAATAACTGAACATCATATTATTAACATTATGTACAATACCATAATTCACCATTGTGTTTGGCTAGCAGGTTATTAACAATGTAAAGATTCATAGATTTATTGTGACGCTGACGTAGATTCATAAAAAGGGGTTCTGACCGACATAGAGATGGCTAATTGTTTCATAAAGCATCACTACAGACTTCTTAACACACACACACCCAAAACAATACATTATCAGTTCCGCATTACAAATTCGTCAAACTACAAAACATGAAAGTAAGCTCAGAGCTATCCTAGTTTTAAATAGATCTCTGAGGTCTTTCATCATGTTTTATATTTTCTCATCTTTTTTTCTGAAAAAAAAAAAAAGGTACGCAAAAGATATATATAAATATACATATATTGGAAAAACTATGCATGTAACTGATTATCAATCTAAAACAAAAAGGAAAATTATGTTAAGTGTTGAAGATTCATGGATTTGAAGAGAAAATTATGCTGTGTAAAGCAAACCAAATAGAAGATCTAAAATGACATTGCCTTTAGTTTTATGAATAGGTTGCCAGAAGACTTTCCCCCTCTACCAAAATTCCCAGCTTTTGCCACACGAATAGTATCACCAGACTCCACACCTATGCAATTACAAACACAAAGGAATTCACTAAATGAACATGATCCACGCCTATAAAATAACAAGCACATAAGAACGAACAAATAGAAGTATACAAAACCACAAACAAGAAAAGATTGATAGTTTATCAAAAAAAGAAAACACAGTTTAAAAGGTGAATCATGGCACAGTCAAAATTGGACCCAGTTCACAAATATTGAAGGCATGATACAGAGTTGTGGCGACAGTACCACAGCTAGAATTATATAGAGATGTGAAAGTCAACGTGGAAACAAAATTTATTACATCTTGATAAATGGGGCAGGGTAGAACTCATCCCCTAAAGCTAGCTCAAAGGAAGAGGATGAAGCACCCGTAGACACCATAACATGGGACGATCATAACTTCTAACACATCTAAACAATACGGATGATGCAACTTCTATTAAGAAATTTGAATTGTTAATCGACATTAGTCCTGCAAATTAATTGCTGCTAAAGTTTAAGACCTTTCTTCACATAAGATTTCCGAAACTTTGTCCTGCTTGTCAAGCTCAATATAATAGAACCTACCCACAAGTTTACAACCTGCCCACTGCCCACTTGAGCAGAACACAAGCATCAAATTTGATTTGCTCCATCACATTAACTTGAAGTCATAAACTCCAACTAATAAGCACAGCAGAACCAGGAGGGAGATAATAAGGACAATCGGAAAAACAACCTGCAGGTATAGCTACTTTAACATCCATGACACCTTTGCCGACCCCTGACCCTTTACATGCCATGCAATAATCCTTACAAATATGTAAAATAAAAACTTGTGTAAGAGAATATGGATACTTCAAAGAAAAATAATGATAAAAAGAAAATAACAAGACCTTAGTGATGCGCCCAACTCCTTTACAGGTGTTGCATGTTGTAATAAACGGTGGAATTGTTGCCTAATAGCATTTAGCAGTCAAAATAAGACACAAAAATGTTAAAAATTTCTGGTAGAATAGAAAATACACCACCGTAGTGAAAGAGGGCAAGAAAGATAGATAATGACTTCTCATCAAAGCATTGAACAGAGAATACTCACTTTCCCCAAGCCTTGGCAGGTTGGGCATATTTTCATCTCAGCATTCAATGGATGGCCTCGACCATCTGCATAATTTGATGTATGAAAGACGAAATTTCATTATTTTATCAGAAGCAATATATTCATAGTTTTCAGTCAAATGTTTCCAAAAGTTACAGCAGGAATTGAATGAGAATCCACCACAAAAAATCTCTATTATTTTTCTTCACTGTGAAAAGTAAGTAACAGATGGCGTGCTCTTGCATTATAATTGAAGTAATTACTAGAACCCCTTCTACCTGTCGTTCAAATACATGCTAACGAATAAAGCTTTAATGTAGTTGAATGCACTACCTCAAACACAATTATCCCAGTATGTAGTTTCATGAAGCCTCCACTAGTATATATTACCATAATCACAACAATTTACTACATTTTATTATCTAGAGTGCGCAGATTTTCTTTATATGTGAGGTTTGGGAAGATAATTCACCAGAGAATTGTTCTTTTGAGAGATTTACCACACTTCATACGGCATACTTATCCTACCTCCAAAATGAAGGAATCACTTCTTTTGTTCTTTTCAGTACTGATCTTCTTACCAGCTTTTATCATGGAATGTTCACTTTATCATGGAAAGAGATGGCATCAAACAGAATGCCAGGGAGAGTAGAAAATATGATTTGGAACCATCCGGAGTCTTAGTAAATTTTTTCCAACTCTCTCATAAATGATAAAATCTCCATTTCCCCTAGTTCAAAAAGTCTGCAAGGCTACTGTACTTAAGAAGGTAAGTCTTATTCATCAATGATCTTAGGAAAGTTAGTTATCTGTTTTATACAGTAAATAAATATTATCCATTTTTCTTTTGTTCAAAAACTGGTATGCATTGTACCGAGGTGACACCAGAGACTTGAATCATGTGTTTTGCATTTATTCCATGAATCGAGAATCTCATAGGTGAAGCCACGATCTTTGATATTTTGTTCTTATCAAATCCTAAAGATATATCAGAAGAAGAGACAAAGCTTCTTGGTGGGCTATTGAGGAAGCAATATCCCTCGAGTTAGAGAGAAGTAAGAGCATCTAAAGTTTGGGAGAAATCCTTGAACTCATGGGATCGGATTTAGATTAGGGAAGCATGGTGGGTTGAATTCAATTCGCAAATATTTAATCTCCTCTTTCAGTCTAAGTTACTAGAATCGGGGTACATTCAGTACTGTACTTGCTCCATGCTATCAGGGACTCCTCACCCACAATATTTTTTTTATTAAAAAAAAAAAAAAAAAAAAAAAA